TTATTATAAGTTTATATTTAGTCTATTGATGCCATTTCAGCATTGGATTATCAGCTCCATTATACCTTAGCCTATATATTCTCCATAGTAACTCTTATATACATATTATCTACGGCATATATATGCATACAATAACATGCCTATACGTAAATTGCATACTATAGTTTTTTAAACTTACTATTTTTCAATATGTTTCGATATTTTTAGTCTTTACCATTAATTTTATTTACCAATAACTAGAATCCTTCTCTTATTCTAACAAATGTCAAGGAGCCCCAAAAAACGTAAATTGATTTTGGATTAAAATTTGTTTATATTACATTGCTGGTTACATCTAAATACAAATTTATTGTGCCCAAACAGAACGTCTTTGCGTAGAACCGCCTTATTATTGAAAGATACCTGGTCGTGGGAAAACAACTTACTTTTTTCACCTATACTACTTCAAATATGTACGAATAGGATTAGTCACAAAATTAATTGGAAAAACCTAATAAATGGATATATTTTTAGAAGCTATAAGATAGTTCAAAAATTTAAGCACAAAGATAACAGACATCAAATTTCTGGAAGAACTTAATGGTGAATATTTCTAAAAATCACGTAAGAAGTTAATTGTATTGCTTAATCTTCATTAGCATTATTTACATCAGTCACTATTAACACTCTACAGGCGCTTTAGAGTTTACTTAAACCGGCATTAACTTTGACGGATCATCATGGGTTAGGATGGTCGCACAGAGTAAAGAAACTTTGATGTTGGGTACCTTTCATTTCGTTTGAAGAGATGAGTGCAAGGGATTCGTAAGTTTGCTTACCGGAAGCTGGAGAGAAATTGTCTTGAAATTGTTACTGTAGATTTGGCGGATAGGTCCTTGGCGCACCGCCCTGTGACCCAGATAAATCTGTGTTAAGTTTTAGCCCATCGCAACGCAATTTGCCAGAGCAGAACTCAATACTCAACGATAATTCACCAAAACACGACGTGAATTGTCGTTTGAGATTTCTCGTTAAGCATGATGTCCTGCTCTAGTGATGTCCATCTCATGACGGACAAAATCTCAGCACGGATTCATTGGAGTCACAAGCGTTGCGCCGAGAACCTAATTGCGCAAATTTACAGTTACGGTTCCAAGACAATGCCCCTATGGCTTCCGGTGGGGTCAACTTACAAATCCCTTCCACTCTCCTCTTTATACAAACGAAAAGGTAATAAAACATTAATTTATAAAGGAATTCTTCGGAACCCAGTTTTTCTACATATCTAAATGAATTTTATTTACTTCTATAAGCGTTGTATTCATCCTATTTTACTTAAGGCACTAGAGGACTGATAGTTGAATTTTCCCAAAAGCATATAAGTAGGCTTCATTCTTATAATGTATTTCACATAGCCTTGATTCCGAAAATGTCTTCTCATCCAGGGTAGGTTGCAATTTCGAACTTGTCTAAGTCTCATCAGCATCTGCAGCGAGACTCGAGCCGTGATAGTACGGCATATAACCCAGACATGTTAAGCATTATGCCGCATTGTTCTATGATCAAAGGACAGAAGTGAAGTTCAAGGAAGCCTATACCTGTCCCATATCATATTTTTGTGTTTGGATTTTTACATGTCGCTGCACTCCCAAGGTTAATGTCCCACTGAGTTTGTTGATATTAAACCGAGGTGAGAACGAGATTGCAATCCACACTAGTTGAGAATACCTTTTGGGAAGCAAGGCTATGTGAAACTCAGTGAAAATAAGAGGCCTACTCATAGAATTTTGGGATAATCTGACTAACATTTCTTTATTGTCTTCAAGTAAATAAGTACAGCTATCATCTAAGATCTACTTTTAGTCTCAAAAGCCTACTTATGAAACGAAAGATTTATTGGCATTCGATTTTCAAAATTGCTTGTAGGAAATATTGTGTTAAGCATATGTAAAAATGTTTATTTTTGACTTCAAAGATCTAGATACATTTGTTGGAATCTGAATTTGGCCTTCGTATTTTGAAGAAAAAAATTGTCAGATGTCATAACAAAAATAAGATCAATTCATCCTAATTTTTCGTGCTAAGTGCCTTGAAAAGCAAATAATGTAGCTTCTTATTAATCTAAAAAAAAGTTTTTTATCTGTTTCTTAATGAAATGTGATCTAACCACATTAGTTAAATTAAAGTTAGCAACGGTGAGACAAAAACTTTCCTTTAGACAGTCGCGAATCTTAAGCCTCTTGTAAAAAGTCATAATGAGTAATTAATATCAAAAGTTGATGAATTATCACATCAATGTCTAGCTCTTGCGTTTACAAAGGATTTCATAAGTCATCTTACGGTGCCTACCCTCCAGAAGTACTACACAAGCTTAAGCAGGTTATGATCCTCTTTCTTATAATTAGAAACAAGTAAGTATTATTAGCCAAGTATCTTTAACTTCTGGTATGATTCTATGCTATCAGTTAAGCATTGCTTCATTTTATCATATAGAGAAACCAATTGAAGAGATATTTTAAACGAACCAAATTCTATCTGAATTATGGAAAAGATTTGTTTTAATTCTAAGTGTTTTATAAACTGCATAGTTTGAGACAACATTTTTAATAAGGTTCTTACACCTGGGTCTTTTCATGCCATGCATAAAGACATGCATTTTTCATTTAATAGCCAAATATGCAAATGGATAGAAGAGCTGCTGAGTAGACCCTCTTTTGGATGAATTATTTATGTGACATAGGAAAAAAACAGTTCCAAATTAATATTTGTACTATTATTTAGCTGTGTAATTATAGCATGTCACTGACATTTTGTCTCATTATTTCAACTGCTTCCATTTTGATAGGTTCCTTACTTTAGTAATATAAGAGTCTGAAATACGTGAATTTTTTTTCTGCCATATAAAAACTACGAAAGGATTCAGGGCCAAGGAAATTATTTTCGTTGCATGCAAAGTACCTTTTGCAGCTAAAGTGACTTTTGCTAAATTAGTTTTTCCTAAATGCTATGCTATGACTTGAACGGATCTACTCTCTAATCGTTACATATAAGATGATTTCCGAGTGGATACAGATTGGTTATCTGAATAACTATACTCTAGGTACGACATCTGACCGTTCAAATAAATAAACTTAGGATTTTTGAAAAGATTGTCATGTTAGAGAGAGAGGGTGAAGGAAAAAATAGCTGGTAAGATTAGGTAAGTTTCTTACATTTTATTTAAACAGCAATATTGTTTATAAAAGCAGAATTACCTAGAATTCCAACTTCTGCTAGAATCGCCCATCTTAGGGTGAACTACCAATTCACATATAGCTATAATTAGAGTGACCATGGAATAGGGTATACAAATAGGATTGATACTAAGCTGAAAACATGTATCTCTTAATTTGTCAAAAGAAACATAAATGGGCTTAACTAAAGCGCCATTATGATGAACTAGTCTATGAAGTCTTAATTTTGGGCAATTAATGGACGTTGGTAAATACAGTTAATTGTATTCTGTCTAGTATTGAAACACTAGCAATTAACATAAGCCAAATATCGCTCTTCTTTAAAAATAGGCTTTTGGCGCGGTTTGAAATAGAATTAACTTCTAGCTCTATTTATTTTTATGTCTTATAGTTACTGTCTAAGGATTCGCATTATTGTTTTTACATGGTCTAAACACGTTTATTCACGAATAACCGAAATAATGGATATGAAAATAAGCCCTTCAAAATGCAGCCTTCAAACAAGATGATACAATTTAATAGTGCAAGAATAAATTTTTTTTTCGCCGAGAATGATTTCCATGAAGCAACAAAAGTTAATCCCCACTGTTTCTGCTTATCTTAACATCATTCATTAGACCACGAGTTTTCGTTGGAAAAAATGTTAATTTTGTTTGCTTGCACTAGCTTCAGAGGATAAGTGCGTTTTTCACAAATATTCTAAACTTACTTTCTCAGTTAATTGGTATGAACTGTTTTTCACAACTTTGTTTGAGGATACAGGAAAACCCCGTAGTCATATTTCCTCTTCCATAGTAGTCATTATAGTTTACAGCATCGGACTGATGAGTTAGTACAGTTCCAGAATGTGGCCGCCATCGCTAATAAGAGATGCTATCCTTAGCACCGAGATACAACATATTATGTTGCCAGAGATGCTAAGCTAGCGCCCTTCATTGACGATAATGGCGAAGTACATGGTAATGTACCGAACCAATGGTCTTATGCTAAAAAATATCATCTCCCAGACCGAGCTGCGAAAAAGAGGCCATACTATCATGATGATCTAAAAGAGATTACGATCATATCTAAGGTTACATCCTAATGGCCTGTGTTTATACAATTTAATTTATTATTTCTAATAAGTATGTACAAATCTGTTCCAATTAATTTATTTTGTTTTTCTTAGCTATCAAAGTCTGGATCGAGAAGGAAATAGATCTCCTAAACTTGTCTTTTGATGATATCGAGAGCTGTATTGCAGAGCTGCAAAAGATTCCACCAAAAACACGATCTGTCAGCATGAACTCACTACATGGTAATATATCTATTTCTAGCAAGCGAGAAAAGAAGCGCCTTCCGCTCCTAAGCAGAAGTCCAAAGAAGGGAAAAAAGAAAGAGAGTGGTGAGCACATGCGATTTTAATATACAATTTAAATTGACATTTATGAGTTAACAGTCTACGGCTTCCGTTGTTTGTATTACACAATATAGCATGAATTTGTGCTGTGTTGATCAAAGTGATTAACGTTAGGATACAGACTTATCGTGTTATTTAGGTGACTGATATTCTTACTATAAGATGTATTCACCTTACCTTGTTGAGGATGAGGACATTCTTAAGTTGAGTATTTTAACATAAATCTAATCCTCAAAAACATTTCGTATCATAAACTTTAATAGTTGATATTTTGTAATAATCGACGAATATTTATATTCTTCAGCTTTTTTGTATGATATAGATTCATCTCGGAGTTATTTACCATAATAAACTCGTATTGGATTTTTTTAAGCTTCAGTTTTCAAAACCTTTCCTGAAGCTTACATTAGGTTTCTTTTTCCTAATATACTTAAATGAAGCTCATTAGAGCTAGAACGGCTAAGATGACACGGCCTTGGGTTTAGACACAGTCTCCTTTTGCTGTATAGTGTTGCTTTGACCTTGCTTTCGCAATTTGGCAGGAGCGATAGGGAGAGCTTGTCGCATGTACCAAGTCCTGCGTTCTCTGCCATAGTATTCATCATAATTTCCGGCATCAAACTGTTAACTTGGCACATCTCCAGACATTTTGCCAGCATCATAGTCGACATTCTTAGCAAAGTTTCAACGTATCCGAATGGTGAATAAAGATGATGCTATAACCAATTTTCTGTTTAATAGCTATGCAGGACTCTTTTCAACTTTGTCATAGCTTTTAGCATTTTAGGACTATCTTACACTCCCTTCATGTGGCTCATTTGTTTATTTACACTATTTTGTGTTCATGTTTGTTACGACGTCGCCTAAGACTGCATTACTTCGGCTGGACATAGTAAATCCTTATCGTCTTCGCCACCGGCCTCAGATGCCGTTCGCAGGGGATTGCCTTCACTTGGAAGATTTATAAGTTTTAACTGGGCT